ATTTTAAGCCCTCCCGAACGGGCCTATAGTTTGTTATAGAAATAAACATATAATGACAAGAAACCTATTGGACTTGAAAAAGTGACAAAACACATAATTTAGTATCATGATTGCATACAACAAAAGAGAAGTGTATAAAGGCCTCACAGAAGTTCTAGATAAAGAACTGACAACATATTAGTACCATAAATGAAAAAATGAAATTGCTCTAATAAAATTACATCAGTTTATCAGACTATCCAATGTTTTCTACTTCAGCAAAACCCAGTTTCAAATTTCTGTAGCTTGACAAAGACTATCAAGATATGTTAAGCCATATACTATCAGCCAAATTACCTGCTTTCACTTTAAATTGTAAACGAGAAAGACCTAAGCGATGTTTAATAGCGAAACTTTAAGCCAAATATCAAAGTCCAAATTTACAATATAGGCAAAGCAAAACCTTAGACACGCATCGGAGCACAAAATAATTGTAAACAAAAAAAGCCCTGCATCGAAACCTCCATGAGTAGTAAGATCAGTAACACACAGAGGAAGATAGCAAATGTCGACCACAAGTAGCAAGCAGAACGCAAGACATATGCAAACATTCATATACATAGTTTTAGATATGAAGATAGATCAACGAAAAGACAAAATTAAACTAAAAAAAGAAACCCACGTCGTTTCCGACCTCTAATTTTTGCCGACCTTGTAAAATCAGCTACAACAAAGCCTGATTAAATGTAACCAAAACAAAACACACAAAACACGAGGCCAGAAATGAATGTAAGAAAAAAACATCTCCGTAGCACTTTCAAAACATCCCACTTTCTTGATGAACCTCAATAGATTTATCGGTGAAAATAAATATCTAACTGGCACATAAACATCCAAGTCATCTTGAGCTAACATGAACATCCAAAGCATGGAAAATAAAAGATTATATTAGGAAATGCAAATTACGTCAGGCTGACTACCATAAGAATTAAGTATTCTCTTGGTAAAATCCATGCCATTGATGCCACGAAATGCAAATATCACTCCATCAACTCCAATGCCAAAGTTTCTATCATAGAATTTCATAGCTTGCTCTAGAGTACTTTTAGGCTCCACTGAATCTCGATTATCAAACTTATCAAATCGACAAACCATAAATGTGAAAAATCCCATATTGTCAATTTTAAATTGTCGAAGTTTCCCATAAATCGTCGGACATAATTTATGCATACAAGTAAACACAGATAAATACGTACACACCCAAATATTCAGGTTATGCAAAACTTGCGAGTATGAATCATTTCCGAGTCCATGACGAAGTGAAGAACAACACTTTCTCTACGATCGAGTAGCGAATCGGGAGAAAATTTCTCAGGAGTCTAAATGCCCATTGAAGCAAAAATGCGGGAATTAGGTTTCCAAGTAGCAGAAATTGGAAGCATTTGGTGAATGTCTGATTGAAGGCAAAACAAAGAAGAGAATCGAGAGGAACTGAAAGAAGAACATGAAAAGGAGTAACGATTAATGGTGGCGAACGGCAGCGGCTATTGCCATTGGTATCGGAAAATTGAAGGAAAGAAAGACGGAAAGAAAGAACCGTTGAAGTCAAACTGGAGTTATTAAAAATGAATGTATTTTATACTCTATTTATAAAGCACTCTATTTTTCAATTTTCTTATTTTTGGACAGTAGTGAGTCTAATTTAAACGTAAAAAAATCCGTTCAACCCAAAATTTTCATGGGCCCCCGCCCCGAACAGGACGGGAATTACCCGCCTAATCGGGTAAACGGGGCGGGGGTCATTGCCCCGGGGCGGGTACGGGAATCATAGTCCCCGCCCTACTACCCGTCCCGTTTAAAGTTAATTTTAAATTTAAATTTTTTATCAAACAAAAATAATAGATTTATCATATTTTTAAAGAGAACATAAGTTGTTTCTAATAAATTGGTAAAAAAATAATAATATTTACTAAGTAAAAACATAAAATAAAATAAAATAGAAAAATAAAAATAAATGGGGNATTGTTTTCCTAGTTCTAGGCAAAATAATGGCTATCAAATATAGCCTAAGTTTTTTTTCAAATAAAAATAATAGATTTATCATATTTTTAAAGAGAGTGTTAGTTGTTTCTAATAAATTGGTAAAAAAATAATAATATTTATTAAGTAAAGACATAAAAAAAATAAAAGTAAAAAATAAAATAAATAAATAATAATAAAAAAAATAAATGGGGCGATAAATGAGGCAAATGACATGCCCCGCCCCGCCTCTATCTCACACCATCCCGCTTTAAATGGGTATGGGGATGAGGCAAGATAACAAAAATAACCGATGGGACGGGGGTGTGAATGACCGATTCGTCTCATACTCGCCATGTTGTCATCCCTACGTGTTTCTGGATACTTTGCTTATTTCTCTTCTTTCGAGATACGGGTCCCTATCAAATAAGGTATTTCCAAGTAAACTTCTTGAACAAAATTACAATTGATTTAAAAAAAACTATCAAGTATAGAAATATTAAAAAATATATAAAATTTTATGGAAATTAATTTTTTATGGCTCAGTGTCCCCCTGACTCCTCCCCTGTTTGTAACATCTATTTACTATGGTCTAACAATAAAAGAGTCATGGTTAGGGTACAATATTATCGACAACTTTGTTTACATAATGTCACGTGACATTATGTTATTAGATAGTTTTAATAAAAAATATTATTTTTGTAGCCAACAACTTTTTGCTAACACACCATATTATCGACAAAGTTGTCATTGATGATTATACAAATAGCAAAATCCTCAACAGATTATCGACAAATTTCGAAAGGATAAATTCATGGAGGAAAAGAACATTTTGCAACTAAGAAAATCGAATTAAACTAATTGTATACTCTTTGTGTACATCAACTTCGACATTTCAAAATGTATCAAAATCTATGTCATTAATTGTTTAAAGTGCTGTTATAATCAATGTATAAAAAGCTGTTAGCGCGCAACAATGTCAAACTTTGATGCAACTATAGCATCTCAAAGCTAACTTGCAAATGATCTAGTCAAAGCCGGAGAGTAAAAGTCAGGAGTGGTGTGCGAGTGCAACTACGTCTCTTTCGGAATGAGATGTCATTCACTTATCTATTAATTTGGATGTCATTATTAGTCCTTTTCTCATTTCCTTTTAATTTCTGGAGGATGCCATCAAAATTTTTTTTTTCTGATTTTTTGTCAACTCACAAAAAAATAAATAAATAAATAAATAATGGAAACTTAAATGGGCCATACACATGTTTATGAAGCTCATAATTGATTTAGATATAATCAAAATTTATTAATTTTGATAAAATGTGATGGACTGTATGATTGAAATATTGCGGGTTCTATAAAATAGGTAATTAAAATTAATTATTAATTTTAACTTAAATTTTAATCCAATGGATGGAATAACTTGGGACAATGCAAAAAACCCACCTTATAGTGTAGGTTCAATGAGAGAATTGTTCCCAAATCCCAAATAATTCTCAACTTCTTAGGTATTTAGTACTCTCTGGCCAAGCCGGTTGTCTCTCTTCATTACAATAAAATGTTGGAATTCAAAAGATTCAACAAAAACTAAACTCCATTAATTCATTACATAAAGCGTACGACTTCAAATATTAAAATGAGTAATGCTATATAGCCCACTGGGAGGGGTTTTAATCCCAGTCTAGGTGGTTTTAAATAATAGGCTATCATTTAATGCCACATTAATGCCACCTAAATTGGGGTTGTAACCCCAGTGAAGCTAAATAACATTACTCTATAAAAATACAAAATAAAAATCAAATGTATCATTGCACTGAATGAGCTTGATAAAGGGCCGGTGCAATTGATTCACTTGATCAAGTCTGGCTTAGAACAATATTTGGCTCAAACAACCCTCCTATTTTTTGGACAATTTTCATTAATTAAAAAAGGAAAATAAAATAAAAAGCTAAGAAT